CCAATAGGAGAATGATGAATATATTGGGGTACATTTATAATCTGGAATAGTGTACAGTAGTGAAAACGACCAGGCGCGGTGGCTCAAGCCTATAATCCCAGCACTTTGGGAGTCCAAGGTGGGCAGATCACAAGGTCAGGAAGGAGTTCAAGACCAGCCTGACCAAAATGGTGAAACCCCCATCTCTACTAAAATACAAAAATTAGCTGGGCATGGTGGCATGTGCCTGTAATCCCAGCTACTCAGGAGGCTGAGGCAGGAGAATCGCTGGAACCCAACAGGTGGAGGTGCAGTGAGCCGAGATTGCGCCACTGCACTCCTGGGCAACAGAGCAAGACTCCTTCTCAAACAAAACAAAACAAAACAAAATAAAATAAAACAAAACAAAACATGTAAAGGATTAGGCAAAAAAGATTAGTAAAGAAATATTTTAAAAACACACACACATATATAAACACACACACACACACACCCCCCCTCATTTATGGATATTTTTAAAGTTATAGATAGATGCATAATCTAAAATGTTCATGAAAATGAAAGCCACCAAATTCTGGGATGGTTGCCATTTCTTTTTTGTTTTTCTTTTCTTTACTTTTTCAGACAGGGTCTCATTCTGTCGCTCAGGCTGGAGTGCAGTGCAGTGGCACAATCACAGCTCACTGAAGCCTCTACTTCCTGGCCTCAAGCAATCCTCCCACCTCAGTCTCCCGAGTAGCTGGGACTACAGGCGTGTACCACCTCAACATTACTAATCATCAGGGAAATGCAAATCAAACTACAATGAGATATCATATGATTTCAGTCAGAATGGCTATTATCAAAAGACCAAAAAAAAAAAAAAAACCCACAAAAAAACAGACGCTAATGAAGATGCAGAGAAAGGGGAACTTTCATACACTGTTTGTGGGAGTGTACATTGTATAGTATAGCCATTATGGAAAACACTGTGGAGTTTCTCACAAAACTAAAAATAGAACTATCAATCCAGCAATCCCACTCCTGTGTATTTATCCAAAGGAAAGGAAATCAGTATATCAAAGAGATGCATGGACCCCCATGTTTATTGCAGTATTATTCACAATAGCAAAGATACCAAATCAATGTACGTGTCCATCAGTGGATGAATGAATAAAGAAAATGTGGTATATTTAAGTAATGAAATATTATTCTGCCATTAAAAAAGAAGAAAATCGTATCATTTGCAGGAACATGGATAGAACTGGAGATTATTATGCTATGTGAAATAAGCCAGACGTAGAAAGACAAATATCACATATACTCATATGTGGGAACTAATAAAGTTGATCTAATGAAGGCAGACAGTAGAATGATAGTTATTAGAGGCTGGGATGGATGTGGGTGTAGGGGTGAAGAGAGGTTGGTTAATGGATACAAACATACAGTTACATTAAAGCAATAAATTATAATGTTAGTTGAGTACAGTGACTATAGTTAACAATTTATCATACATTTCAAAATACTTAGAAGTGAGATTTGAAATGTTCTCAACAGAGAGAAATGATAAATGCTTGTAGTGATGGATATCCTAAATACCCTGACTTGAGCATTACACATTCTATGCATGTAACAAAATATCACCTGTACCCCATAAATATGTACAAATATTATGCATCAATAAAACAGATAAATACATAAATATTTTGAAGATAAATCTGATAGGAGTTTGATGGATTTTATGTGAGGGTTAAAAAAACAGAGATGCCCAAGTTTCTGATTTGGACAAGTGGACAAAAGGGATGTTGGAAGAGGATCAGATTTGGGTGCAGAGATTACAAGTTTGGCTTTGAACATGTTTTGTTTGAGATGCCTTTAAGGCACCTAAACATAGAAGGAAAAACAATCATGACAGTCAGTCACGGATTCAAATCAAATCTGGAGATGTGAATTTGAGACACATCCACAAATAAAATGAGATACCACTAAACTGACCAAAAATTTAGAAAAGTTGTAACACTTGTTGATCTTTGAAATGTGAGGTGGTTACAGCCTTTTGGAAAGCAAACTAACAGCATCTATTGTTAAAAATACGTATGTTCTTCCATCTAGCAATACTACTTATGAGAACCTATGTCCTATAAATAAAATTGTCTGTGCAAAACAGGTGTGCATAATAAGAATGTATATTGCAAACTTGTTCATGATGATAAAAACTGGAGCAGTATGAGTGTTAATGAATTAGCTATTAAAATAAAACACAGTGGGGCCATTTTAAATAATTCTTAATAATCATTCCAGATGACTCACAACACTTTCTAGTAGGATTCTAGAGGTATAAAGAAAATATGGCCAGGCGTGGTGGCTCACATCTGTAATCCCAGCACTTTAAGGGGCCAAGACCAGCAGATGGCATGAGCTTAGGAGTTTGACACGATCCTGGGCACATAGTGAGACCAGCCTAGGCAACATAGTGAGACCCCCGTCCCTACAAAAAATACAAAAATTAGCCAGGTTTGGTGGCCTGCCTGTAGTCCCAGCTAGTTGGGAGACTGAGGTGGGAGGATCTCTTGAGCTGTGGAAGCGGAGGTGGCAGTGAGCGCCTTTGCACTCCAGCCTGGGTGGCAGAACGAGACCCTGTCTATATGCAAGAATTTGTATATATATTACCTCATGTTTACAAAACAAAATTCTCTCCCCTTCCTCTCCCCCAAATCCCATATATGTATATTATTAGACTTTGGTATCTAATGTGCTCCTGGGGCTCTTTACATGTTAATCGTTCAATACTCAAGAGTAACTGTGCTATACACACCACTATTATTCTTTTACAGGTAAGTAATATGGGGCATAAAGAACGTAAGTAACGACCCACAGCACAAAGATATCAAGATATACAAGTTAAGCTCAGAAACCAAGCTCTTAAACACTACACTGTCTCTCTGTATTCGCTTATAAATGTGTACGTCTATTTACCGTACAGGGAGAAAAATATGCAAGAATGCATACCGGGGAACTGACGTAGGCTGGGGCAAAGAGAAGGTGCTGATATGGATGGCTGGCGGTGCAGAGGAGGAGATCAACCCAGGCAAAAAAGAAAGAAAGAAAAAAAGATCAGGTTCTCCAGGCTGGGCAGCCATTCCTAGATTAACCAGGTATTGATACGGGAGGAAGAGGCTTTGCTGCAGGAATTCTCGGGTAATAGGAACAGACCACGGAATGGTATCGTACTATGACGGCTGGCAGGAGCAAACCATAGAGATGAACATTTCTAGAGTAGTGCGGCGACACTTCGGGATGTTGGCTGGTCCTTAGCGACGGGAGTTTTCAGGGCTTCAAGAGAGTAGGACCTGGGCTCTATAGGCTGGCCCTGGGCCGGGTGTAGACCCCATCTTCTCCTTTCCAGTCCGAGCTGCCATTAGCTGGTCTCCTGGAGTGACCCCAAACGAGGAGGACAGAGCTTCGTGCCTGACCCTAACCCAGGCTTCCGTACCCCTAGCCGGCCTGTCTTGGTGACTTGGAGTCAGGCCCCTCTTCTCCGAAGTTTCTGAGAAGCAGGACTCCTGAGTGTAAGAGGGTGGCCTTCTTGGAATCTGGTGGGTCCTTGACATATTGAAAACAGGGAAACTTGCCGGGCGCGGTGGTTCACGTCTGTAATTCCAGCACTTTGGGAGGTCGAGGCGGGTGGATCACCTGAGGTCGGGAGTTCGAGACCAGCCTGACAGACATGGAGAAACCCCGTCTCTACTAAAATACGAAACTAGCCGGGCGTGGTGGCACATGCCTGTAATCCCAGCTACTCGGGAAGATAAGGCAGGAGAATCGCTTGAACTCAGTAGGTGGAATTTGCAGTGAGCCGAGATCGTGCCATTGCACTCCAGCCTGGACAAGAAGAGCGAAACTCCATCCAAAAAAAAAAAAAGAAAAGAAAACAGGGAAACTTTTCCCCAATCTTTAGGGTCAAAAGTGTTTTAGAAATCAGATTTCGAACGATTTTTGAAAAGCAGTATGATGCATATGTGCTACATATGCATAACACCCCAGAGATCTGGTGAAGCCTGATATTCAGGCCTATTAATAATTCTGTAATAAAACATGAATATTCACGCTAAGACTATAAATAGCTTCATGTCATTTCAAGCCAAGTCTTGTTACAAAATATGTTTATGTTACTTTGGGTATTGCCATCAAATGACTTATGAAAATACTCTCAGTTTTTCAGAACTTTGAGGGATTTTGAATTTGTGGAAAAGGGATTGTGGACCTGTTCTGTTTAATATTTTCATTGCCTTATTTCTCTAATCATGCTCTTTTATCACACAGTGTAAAGGAAATGATTCCTTAATTAAGTTTTGTGAGTCTTACAGTTAATACCTTTTATTAGTCATTTTGTTTTTCGACAGATAGTTATTAATGATGTGCTATGTACCAGGCACTATTCTAGGCAGTGGAAGTATTGCAGTGTACAAAATACATGAAGCCCCTACTCTTATGGCACTTATTGTGAGGGTAACAAACAAAAAGTGAATTTTATTTGCCTTTTAATTATATGTTTTAATGTTGGGGTGATGAGAGTTATAAAGAAAAATATAGTAAGGTAAGAGGGCAGATAGTGGTGGAAAGCTATTTTTTTACAGGATGGGCTAGAAATATCTATTTGAGGAAACAGTTTGTGAGCATGCCTTAATGAAATGAGGGAATGTTTCATGCACAGGTTTGGGTAATGGTATTCCAAGCAGGTGTGAAGGCCCTCACATGGAATGCATTTCACATGTCTGGAACAGAAAAGAGTTGAAATAGAGTGAGCACAGGAAACATTGATAGGAAAAAGATTACTCTTTTTATTTCTAAAATAGTCATATAAATTTCCATTACTGAGGTGTCAAATCCTCAAATTTCATCACTGTTAGCAAAACCTCAAAAACCTTTTCTGTTTTGCTTTTCTTAACGTGGCATAGGCAGCCTTTATAGTACACGTACTTTAAAAAAAAAAAAACTGATGAAAGTTTTTCACCTTTGAATAACATTTTCTTTATTTTTTAAGATGAGTCTCCCTGGAGTATAAACCTGTCTGCAGTTACTCTTGAGTGAAAATGGTTACAGATTGTATCATACAGGATGGAGAATAGGAGAGACCTGTGTTAGTAAAAATGGAGGAAGGTAACTCTTCTGTACGAGAAATTGACTTGCAGTAGAACAGCCAGCCCAGCCAGGAAGTCTTCTGCCAGTGCTTTAGACAGCTCTGCTACCAGGAGACACCTGGACCCAGGGAGGCTCTAAGCCAACTCTGGGAACTTTGCCATAAGTGGCTACGATCAGAGGATCATAACAAGGAGCAGATCTTGGAACTGCTGGTGCTGGAGCATTTCCTGTCCATCCCACCCGAGGAGCTCCAGTGTTGGGTACAAGAGCATCATCCATTGAATGGAAATGAAGCTGTGTCTTTGCTGGAAGATTGGAGAGGGAACTTCATGATCCTGGATTTCAGGTGGGAAGAGGAGGTGTGTCTTGTGGTAGCAAAGTGAGCATTCAATGGTTAGGTCAATAGTGAAGCAGTGAGGGCAACATTACTGAGTTTTCATTCCTATTAGGCTTCACTGGTAGTGTCAGTTCCTTTTTCTATATCATCTCTCCTTCTAATTCCATTGAGTCCCTTTTCCCTATTCTGTTTCCATAGGAATGTTTCCTGAGGTTTCAGATCTAGTTCCCACAGAAGTTTCCTCTCAAGTACAATGGTCCCTAATTGTCTCCAAGGCACATCCCAAGCAGATGGACTGGAAGTGCCCTGGGAGGAGGTGATATCTCTGGGAGCTACACAGCAGTCACCATGTTATCACCTCCAACACATAGAGACCCTGCTCAAGGATGACCCTTTGGAACCCTATTCTCCACAAGAAAGAGGTAAGGAGGAAGAGGAGGAATCTATCTGGGAGGTGGGTAAGAGCAGGGGCTCTTGTTTGGCCAACCAAAGGCATCCTTTATAGTTCATTCATTAGCATCTCTAACCCTAACTCTCTCCTGAAACCCTCCCTGGCCCATCTGTCTCTGTCTTTATAAAGGAGAGCCTTTATCCTTGGCCTTTTAAGCAAATATTTTTATTCTATTTGCTTTCACATATGCCTCTTTGATTTTCATTAAAGCATTAAATTATCACATTATTCTGTTACTTTTTATATCGCCTTTCCTTTATGGTAATCTACTAAATGTCTTCTTTGTCTCTACCCTTTGTCCCTTTAAGTGTTCTCTGCCTATTAGTGATAAAGTTACCTTTTAAACCTTTCACTTTGGCTACATTTCTGTCTTCTTCCACATTAAATTCTTTTTTCTTATCAATACCTCCCCCTACTTGTCACTCCAGTATAGATTAGGTACCCTTTTTCCTTTCCACATTCTCTGCATGCCAAATGTCCTTTCCATTTAAAAAGCATCCTCCTTCTCACATTCTGACCCTTTTTAAAAAGCATCTGTCTCCAGCAAACAGCAATGAAATGATTAGGAGAGCTGAGAAGTCAGTGCTTTTCTAGTATATCCTGTGAGTTCAGGTGGAATGTTCATTTAAATGAGTTCAGTACACATTTAATGTATCTTCTTCAGGTCCAATTTTACTAAAATGTATTTTTTTATTGTGTTCATAAAGGAATACTGACCTTTATTTATTAGGAATTGTTGGTTTACACTGAATCTGCAAGCAATGCCCTATTTGGGAGAATATTAAGATGAAAGGGTTTTTTCCCCAAGCAATGGTATAAATACACTTTTGCCTTTCTGCTATAGTGGTTGTTGCTGTTGTTGTTTTTGAGACAAGGTTTCAGCCCAGGCTGGCAAAATCTCATCTCACCGCAACCTCCGCCTCCTGGGCTCAAGTAATTCTGCTGCTTCAGCTGCCCAAGTAGCTGGGACTACAAGCATGGGCCTGCTAATTTTTGTATTTTTTGTAGAGACGAGATTTTGCCATGTTGCCCAGGCTGGTCCTGGGCTCAAGCAATCCACCCACCTTGGCATCCCAAAGTGCTGGAATTACAGGCGTGAGCCACACACCTGGCCCTTGAATGCAACTCAAAGTTATTTACACACTTAGACTTTTTCAATATGCTCCGATGATTTGTATCCTGTTTTGGAGGTAAAGATTATTCCCAATCCCACTTTAGTATTATATAGATTATTTATTCTTAGGATATGTCTATTTCACTTTTGCTTTCTAGCACTTTCCTTCCTTAACTCAACTGAAAAAGTATTCACTGATTGTTGGGGGAACATGGCTAAAATGGAAATAAATGATCCATCGGGGGTTTACTCTCTCATCAATTTAAAAAGGTGACATTTCCATTCTGTTTAAAAATGTTTATAATGAAAAGTTAAAAAAGAAAGTGATATTTGAATGATTTATTTCCTATTTTAGACAGTGAAACTAGGCCTGAGACTGGTAATTTGGCTCCAAAGCAGGAAGCATCCAAAGGAATGGAATCACAGAAGACGCTGTTCAGTAGAATCTGCAGAGGCAGGAACATTTTTCAGGATACTCATTTTGGAGACCTTCATGAATGCAAGGACAGGTTTGAAAAGCATCAAGGAAGTTTAAAGGAAGGAAAAGAACACACATGTGATCAGTGTGGGAAGTTTCATGCACAACATCAGTCTTATTGGACACCAGAGAATCTATACATGGGAAAAACCCTCTATGTATAAACAACGTGGGAGAGTCCTCAGTCAAAACAAAACCTCTTTTAAACACCTCAGAATTCACACTGGTGAGAAACCTTATCAGTGTAACCAGTGTGGTAGGTTTTAGTCGAGGCTCAGTCCTTATTAAACATCGGATAAATCACGCTAGGGAGGAGGCTTATGAGCGCAGTGAATGTGGTAAAACCTTCAGTAACAGCATGGGACTTACCCAGCATCAGAGATTCCATACCTTAATAAAATATTATCAGTGCAATGAGTGTAGGAAAGCTTTCAGGGAAAGTTCAAACCTCACTAAACATCAGCGAATTCATACAGGAGAAAAATCTTATGAATGTGATGAATATGGAAAAGCCTTTGGTGGAAGTTCTGATCTTACTGGACATCAGAGAATTCACACTGGGTAGAAACCCTTTGAATGTGATGAATATGGGAAGGCCTTCCATCTGAGCTGACATCTCACTGAACACCAGAGTCCACAACAGGAGTGACCTCACTTTCCCCAGTCACCCTGTGTACACTGAAGCTTCCATGCCTTTTTCTTCCATTTCTCCCCCTTTACACCCAGAATGCCCTCTTTGTTGTTTCCCCAATCAGATTTTATTACTTTTCTTTTAGGTCTTCTTAGGTTTATTTTACTTTTTATTTTCTAAAATTTTATTTTATTTTGGATTCAGAGGGTACATGTGCAGGTTTATTACATGAGTATATTGCAAAATGGTGTTTGGGCTTGCCCATTAACCAAATAGTGACCATTGTACCAAATGAATAATTTGTCAACCCTCACTCCTATCCCAACCCGCTCCCCCATCCCCAGTTTGTAGTCCCCAGTGTCTATTGTTTCCATCTTTATGTCCATATGTCCCCATTGTTTAGCTCCCACTTATAAGTGAGAACATGTGGTATTTGATTTTCTGTTTCTGATTTATGTAACTCAGGATAATGGCCTCCAGTTTCATCCATGTTGTTGCACAGAGCATGATTTTGTTCTTTTTTTGTGGCTATGTAGTATTTCATGTTTGTTGGCTGCTTGGATGCCTTCTTTTGAGAAATGTTGGTTTATGTCCTTTGCTCACTTTTTTTTTTCTTTTTTTTCTTTGAGACGGAGTTTTGCTCTTGTTGCCCAGGCTGGAGTGCAATGGCACAATCTTGAGTCACCACAACCTCCGCCTCCTGGGTTCAAGAGGTTCTCCTGCCTCAGCCTCCCGAGTAGCTGGGATTACAGGCATGCGCTACTATGCCCGGCTAATTTTGTATATTTTTTTAGTAGAGACGGTGTTTCTCCATGTTGGTCAGGCTGATCTCGAACTCCTGACCTCAGGTGATCCACCTGCCTCGGCCTCCCAAAGTGCTGGTATTACAGGTGCGAGCCACCGTGTCTGGCCTTTTGCCCACTTTTTAATGGGGTCGTTTTTTTTTTCTTTTTGAGTTGTTTGAGTTCCCTGTAGATTCCAGACATTAGTCCTTTGTCAGAGGCATAATGCAAATTTTTCTCCCATTCTGTAGATTGCCTGTTTACTCTGTTGATTGCTTCTTTTTCTGTGCAGAGGCTTTTTAGTTTAATTAAGCCCATTTGTCTATTTTTGTTTTTGTTGCATTTGCTTTTGGGCCAACCAAATTTTACATATGTCTTACCATAGCCCTGTTTAGAATAAACAAGCATTCTGAATGCTGAACCTCCTAGAGGTTGTGTAACAGTACCCATAATGTGTCATTAAAAACAGGTTTGGCTGAAATGTTAGTGAACCCCTTGGGCTCCTACCCTGTGTGCTTTCAGTTAACTTGGTGACAATTGGGTTTGCCTCCTGAAAACAAGATATTGCTTCTTGAGGAAGAGAAGAGCAATCCCTTTCTGGAGATATTGGAAAACACTAATACTCAAGTAGGCATTGGTCACCTTATGCAGAGGGAGCCTGTGATGCTGACCCAGACATACTCCAGGCTGCAATGAGAGTCAGAGGAAGATCCTTTCTAGATAGTATTTTGTACATTGCTGATGCCACTGTACACCAGACATCTAGGTAGGATAGACCCAAGGGGAAGTGCTCCTTATTCAGGCATCTTTATTTTAGCTAGTACAGAAAAAAATAAGATGGGCTGGACCTCAAGAGGAATTCTGAGATCCCAAAACAAAGTGGCATGTGTTGCAAATAAAAAGATAACTAGAAACTTCACTGGATTAGAAGACAGGTAGCAAGGTTCAAAGGCCACAAATGACAAAGGTACAGTCTACCCTAGGATGGATGAACTAGAGAAATAGTCTTCTTTACCATGGCTCCCACATGAATGTTATTTTAGGGACTGAGTGACTCTGAGGACATTAGCTATCATTTTTCTTGACTCTGATATTACTATCAGTTAATAATGGAGCTATCATTTTCATATGATTAGCCGTATACTTACAAGTGAGCAGACCTTGAACTTCCTCTAGGTTTCTAAGCAAGGGCTTAAACCACCAAATGTGACACCCTTGAAGGGTAACTCAAGCTATGGACACTTAAGACCCTGAGATGATGATATAGTATTTTGAACATTATAATTTGCTGAATGTCGGTTGAACCACCAGATGTAATGCAACTTGTGCCTTCCCTCTTATTCTTTTTTTGTGCCTTTTCCTCCCTTATATTCACCTCCCTTTTTTCTTTTATCTGTTGTCCCTTTTTTTCTGATCACCTACACTCTTTCTACCACATAAGCATCATTTCTTTATAAGTCCTCACCCTCTCCCCACTAAACTTGTATTTCCCAGATATCAGTTCTTGTAGGTAGGAAGCAGAGACAGTGGGTTCAGTTAGAGGTGATGGGGGTCACATTTTTTAAAAAGGGAAAGAAAACCCTAGGTAGGTAGTCAAAGCATAGACGCCCTATATCGGACTTTATGATCAGCTGTTACTAACAGTTTATGTAAATGAGGTCCAAAGGTAGATAGTTTGAAGTTGTTGCTTTTGCTCTATAGAATCATCAGGGATCCAGGTCCCTTCCACCTTGTCACTGTCCTCTGTGTACAGCTTCTCTTCCCATGGCTACTGAAACACTGGCCATCAATTCTGCATTCTAGTCAGCAGGAAGGGCAAAAAAATGGACTCTCCCAGATAAGTCAGCAATTTTCAAGGAGTCTTCTCAGAATGCACAAATTCCTACACCTAGTTAACCAGAATTTAGTCACATTACTACACTTTGCTACAAAGATAACTAAGAAATGTAATCTTTATTTCAGGTGCCAGTGTACAAGATAAAAATTGTAATGGTTATTTGATAAAAAGGAGAGAACACTTATTTAGTAGGCAAACAGTCTCTGCCTTAGTCCCAGATAAAGATGTAACATTTCAAGTTATTAAGTGCAGGAACCAACTCCTAATAAATGTGTGATGAAAGATCAGTAAACAGATGAATGAATGAGAGAAGGGGTGCAAGGAACAAAATCAGAACTAAGAGATTCAATGGTGATTTAGTGAGTATTAGGAAGGCGGTGGGGATAAAGCAAGGAGAGGGAAAAGAGGAAGTGAGGAACAGGAACAGATAAATCTCTGAGTTAGAAGTCCCTAACACATCATGCTTCCTTAAATAATAGCATTAAAAAGTTTTATTTAAAAATACAGTTTAACTCTATTTTGAAGTGATATCAAAAAATATTTTTATTTTATATATTTATTTTTTGAGACAGAGTTTCACTCTGTCACCAAGGCTGGAGTGCAGTGGGGCAATCTCAGCTCACTGCAACCTCTGCCTCCCAGGTTCAAGCGAGTCTTGTGCCTCAGACCCCCAAGTAGCTGGGACTACAGGTGTATGCCAGCATGCCCGGCTAATTTTTTGTGTTTTTAGTAGAGACAGGGTTTCACCGCGTTGGCCAGGCTGGTCTCAAACTCTTAACCTCAAGTGATCTGCCCACCTTGGCCTTCCAAAGTGCTGAGATTACAGGCGTGAGCCACCATGCCTGGCCTCAAAAGATATTTTTAAAGGAAAAATATCTAGGTTTTTTTCTACTACTAGAAAAAACTTATCCCTACTTCCCTAATTTAAGAATTATTTTTATTTCTTCAAATTGTCTATTTAGAGAGATTGATAAATAGATATATGATTTTTGTCAGGTACTTAGAATTTTATGATTGGTTATATTTTTTATTAACCACGCTTATTTTTAAAATTACTCCACGTTTCCACATAACCAAATTTATTACCTTATGGTTTATATAATAGTTTTAGGTCACTTTAGTCTTCATATATACGTGTGTGTGTGTGTGTGTGTGTGTGTGTACATACACACAGTCATGTGTTACTTAACAATAGGGATACATTCTGAGAAATGCATCATTAAGCCATTTCATCATTGTTTGAACATCATAGAATGTATTTACACAAACCTAGATATAGTCTACTACACACCTAGGCTATATAGTATGGCCCGTTTTCCTAGGCCACAAACCCATACAGCATATTACTGTAGTGAATACTGTAGGCAGTTGTAACAATGGTAATTATCTGTATGTCTAAACATATCTAACAGTAGAAAAGGTATAGTAAAAATATGCCATAAAACTTTTTAAAACAATAATACACCTGTATAGGACAACTCCATTATAATCTTATGAGGCTACTGTCTTATATGCAGCCTGTTGTTGACCAAAACATTGTTATTCACAGCACATGACCTGTAAAGACAGGGCCACTTCTATCTCTTTTTGGGATACATTTCACAGAAGGTGAAATAGCTGAGTAAAAAGATTGTCATATATGTTTAAGCATTGCTAATAACTGCATTTTTGTCTAATGGACACTGTTAACCTTGCAACCAAAAAAAGGGCACCTTTAAGATCCACATGTGCCAGGCGTGGTGGCTCACACCTGTAGTCCCAACACTTTGGGAGGCCAAGGGGCGGATCACCCGAGGTCAGGAGTTCGAGACCAGCCTGGCTAACATGGCAAAACTCCGTCTCTATTAAAAAGACAAAAATTAGCCAGGTGTGGTGGTGGGCGCCTGTAATCCCAGCTATCAGGAGGCTGCGGCAGGAGAATTGCTTGAACCCAGGAGGTGGAGGTTGCAGTGAGTTGAGATCACGCCATTGCGCTCCACCCTGGGCAACAAGAGCAAGACTCCACCTCAGAGAAAAAAAAAAAAAAAGATCCACATGTAAGGGTACCTGGTTAACTAATTCCTCAAAGTCAAGGGAGCTAGCAGATGAGGAAAACTGGGTACGAGTCCTGGGTCTGCTGACCTCAGCAACACACTTCATTTATCTGAGCTCTGGTTCTTTCAACTCTAAAATGAGTGGTTTGCATATTTGTTAAAAACATTAAAATATGCATATATTTAAAATTACCTAACAATATGTGCACAGTGAAATGAAATACTGCAAAGTAAAACCATTCATATAACCACTACCAAGGTCAAGAAATAGAACTGTTACCTGTGCCCCAGAAGGCCCCAGTTATGCTCCCTGCTAAACTCTGTTCCTTTCCTCCTCCCTGTTGTGACTTCTAACATCAGATATTAGTTTATTCTGTTCTGAACCTTATATAAATGCAATCGTGAAGGATGTGTTTTTTGTCTTCTTTTACTCACTATTCTGGCTCCTTTTACTATTATGTTTATGAAATTTATCAATGTGGTTTGTAGCTGTAGTTCATTGATTTTCATTGTTACATAGTATTCAGTTGTCTGAATAAACTTTTTTTAAAAACCATCCTACTGTTAATGGACATTAGAGTTGTTTCCAGTTTAAAGCAGTCACCAAAAAACGCTTCTAAAACATGTCTTTAGATGCAAGCACGTATGCGTTTCTGGTGGCTGGGTCATAGAACATGCATACATTCAACTTTAGTAGATATGCCAGAGTTTCCCAAAATGGTTTCACCAGTGTACACTCTCATAAAATATACGTGAAAATTCCCATTGTTCCATAATTCTTGCTGAAATTTGGCACTGTGGATCCATTTCTAGCAGGGATTTCAGCGCTGAGTTTGTGATTCCTTAAGAAATACCCAAGGACCTATCATACTGGCAATAAGTAAAAACCTGAAAACATACAGTTCATGAGGCTGTGTGAAAACAGGCACTCTCACACTTTGCTGTTGACAGTACAAAATAACACAGCTCCTACAAAAGTCTCCCTCTTACTGTTCATTGCAGCATTATTTGTTAAAGCAAAACATTGGAAATAATCCAAATACCCACGCCTAAGAAACTGGTTAAAAAAATTACGGTACATCCACACAATGAGTTACTATTATGCAGGTGTGAAAAAAAGAGAACTACGTCTATAAACAGGACATTTCTAGGCTTTTCTGTTAGATGATAAAGCAAGGCATGAAAGAATGTATATAACATAACTTATGGGGTAAAGAAGGTAAATATTTATTTTTGCAAGAAAAAAGAAAGAAAAAGTAGGGAAGGGAGGAGGGAAGGAAGAAGGAAAGAAGGAGAGGATAAATAAATAATGAAAATGGGATATAAATATGTGGGGTAAAGGGACTGGGGATGGAAGCAGAACTCCTCTAAATATACCTTTTTATATAATGTGGATTTTGAACTAAGTAAATGTCTTGAATTTTCAAAAAAGAATAAAAAAGGGATGAAAGCAAACCCTGAAATGGAATATAAGCAGAAACAAATGATCCTAACCATATATCATTTAAAATATAACCACAGAGAAAAGAATTAATTCAAATAAGGTATTTATGCAGCTATACTCCCTAAACGGGATATAATTCAAAAACAAAACAAGCAAAGAAAATTTGAACTCTACATAGTAGATATGTTATTGCTAGTGGTGTATTTGTATTATAATCTTGAAACTATTTTGTTTATAAGAAACTATTTTGTTTGAGTGAATGTATTTATGCTGTTGGGAGCCAGAGTTTTCACTGTGGGGGAAAAGAAAAAAAACAAATGTGCAATGGTGAAAAATGAAAAGGAATTCTGTGGAGTTGTTTTTGAACAGAAAGTATCTTATAAAATCCTCCATATAGATATATGTTAAAGTAAAACACTGGAAATAATCCAAACACCCACCCCTAAGAAACTGGTTAAAAACATGACGGTACATCCACACAATGTACCGTATATACATATATGTAACATATTCATATATTCTAGCTCTTGTCCACTGACAAGGCCTAGAGGCAATAATATATCCTAGTAGCAATAAGATTATTCATTGCCCAAAATCCAGATCTTGGTTTCTATATCCCATTTTTCATTAATAAGTACTGTAGCTTCATAAAGCAGTGGCGATTCCGCGTCTAGGGTAGGAATAGCATAAAATGAGACTGAAATACCTTGTGTGAGAAAGTGAAGTGCACAAAAACTGTTGGGAACTTATCAAAGGACACAGAAACCTGTTTGAGGCCGGGTGTGGTAGCTCACTTCTGTAATCCCAGCCCTTTGGGGGACCGAGGCGGGTGGATCACTTGAGGTCGGAGTTCAAGACCAGCCTCAGTAGGGGATTGTGGCCTGAGCCTGTAATCCCAGATACTCAGGAGGCTGAGACAGGAGGATTACTCGAACCAGGAATGCGGAGGTTGCAGTGAGCTCAGATCGCATCCACTGCACTCCAGCCTGGAGACTTTGTCAAAAAAAAAGAAGAGAGAGAGAGGAGAGAGGAGGGAGAGGAGGGAGAGGAAGGAGAAGAGGGAGAGGAGGGAGAGGAGGGAGAGAGAGAGAGAAAGAAAAGAAAGAAGGAAAGAAAGAAAGAGAAGGAAGGAAGCGAGCTGTCTGAAAGGGCTCCAACTGACCAAATTTTAAATAATTTGAGCATCAACATAATAATGACAGTAATTGTTTGTTTATTTATTTATTTATTTAGAGATGGAGTCTCGCGCTGTTGCCTAGGCTGGAGTGCAGTGGTGTGATCTCGGTTCACTGCAAGCTCTGCCTCCCGTGTTCACGCCATTCTCCTGCCTCAGCCTCCCGAGTAGCTGGGACCACAGGCGCCCGCCACCACGCCCGGCTAATTTTTTCTATTTTTTAGTAGAGACGAGGTTTCACACTGTTAGCCAGGATGGTCTCGATCTCCTGACCTTGTGATCCGCCCGCCTCGGCCTCCCAAAGTTCTGGGATTACAGGCGTGAGCCACGGCGCCCGGAGTAATTGTTTATTTGTAAAGGAATCCATGAGTTCATCGTGATAAAATGAGACGGCAGGGAAAAGAAAAGGTATTCTTTGTAGGAAATGGCAACTAATCAATGTAGAAATGTGCTTCAGTTTCCTCACCTGTTAAATGGAGATAATTGTACCTAACTCACAGGGTTGTTATGCGGAGTAAATGAATTAATACGTGTTAAAACACTATGTTGGCCGTTATTATATTGCCCCCTGGAAGACAATGTGCCACCTAGCATCTCACTAAGACTACAGACGGGATTCAGCGTGACGACCACAGAGGTGTGGAAACCTCCGGCCTTCCTAGAAGGAACACAGCCAGAACCACAGTTCTGCGGGGAGCCGGCCGCGGTGACGCATTTCCGGCCTTTGTGGTTTATTATTCTTTGGACTGCGGTTGTCAAGGATTCAGAGCCGGTATGATCTGCGCTAGGTGGCATCTCCTTTCACGGATGCCTCGGTGAGCTTTGGAGTCGGGCTACCGCTGAGGGGCTTCGGAAGGGCTGGTCTGTGCGCTGCGACCTGGACTGGGTGTGGGGATCTGGCGGCAGGGGCTTCTTGGCCAGAGATGGGCCGGGCAGATGAGGGCAGAGGAGGTTGCTCCGCAGCCTGGAAGGGCCTTGTTAACCAAAAGTCAGCGTCGTTGCGCCTACCGCTTTCCCCCACCCCATGTCTATTCCTGAGCTCTTCAACCTGTCTGCCCTGTACTGATGGCACTCTGAACTCTCCCTATCTGTATCTTAGGATCCGAATAGATTCGGATATGAAGAAATGTTTGTATTTTCCGATGTCTTATTCTCTACTGTGGACTTATTTTAAAGAATAAGCAGGGATACTTTTAAATGCCACAGCCTTTCTTAGTCTAATTCACATAGTATAAAGGCTCTTGCTGCTATCTAATTTTTTGGAAGAATAAATAGCATCTACTATGTACCAGCCCAGCACTGTTCTAAGCACTTTCCAAATATCTGCTTCTCATAACACTAACAGATAGGCACTGTTATTATGTAGACTACACCCCACCTCCCTGTCCCGCCCCTTTTTAAAATTAACATACAAGAAGAAAATGAAGTAATTTGCCTAAGGTCATAGAGCTAGTAAGGGGTGTAGGCAGGATTCAAATACAGGAAATTTGGCTCCAGAGTCCATTTTCTTAAAACCTTTGCTATGCTAACTCCACTCTGTTCCTGTATTAGCTTTACAGCTATAACCCGGGAAGTTACTTCGCTCATTTGAATCCCGTCTTTCTTTTGTACCTCAATAGTCCTGGGCTTCTAGTTAGGATTTGATTGGAGAGAATGTATCTGAAGACGTCCATCTTTCACAGTGTTTCTGCAAACCTGATGAAACAGCCATTTTATTGGTTTGTGTACATGTTTCGCCTACCCATCTTGTTCTTTGAGCAATAGAAAAAGATTACAGTCTTGGCCCTAAGGGAAAGTAGCAACTATTAATTAAACCACCATTGTATCAAAATTGTACATTATGTCATTAAAAGATTAATTTGCATGTTTATATGCCAGGCTTTGTGCAAAAACACTTTCTATGCATTATCTCATTTAATATTCTCAACAAGTTGGCAAGGTAGTTTTTGACCTCATTTCATATATGAGCTTGAGGCTTAGAAAATCAGGTAACTTGCCCAAGATCACTGTGTTAAAATTCACAGATGGTAATCCCAGCACTTTGGGAGGCCGAGGTGGGCGGATTACCTGAGGTCAGGAGTTGGAGACCAGCTTGACCAATATGGTGAAACTCCATCCTACTAAAAATGAAACAATAAGCCAGGAGTGGTGGTAGGTGCCTGTAATCCCAGCTAGTCCGGAGGCTGAGGCAGGAGGATTGCTTGAACCTGGGAGGCAGAGGTTGCAAGTGAGCCGAGATCGCACCACTGCACTCCTGCCTGGGCAAAAAGAGCAAGACTCTGTCTCAAAAAAATAAAAAATAAAAAAGAATAAACAACCAGATCTGCCTGTGTTCTCTACTACCTCATACTACCTTCTGCTTATCTAAGGTAAATAAAATATATGGGCTTATATCAACTCTATGTGTGCACATGTGTACATGTGTATATACGATTGCAAATGCATAGAAAAGGACACATTCCAGTCTTTAAGACTGTTTATTTCAGGGTAGTAGAACTTGGTGAAAGAATTCTATATTCCTCTCTACTTTTTGGATTTTAAAAAATGGTTCTGAAGAGAAGTAATAGTACAAGGTAAATTGTGACTGAGGGTGAAAGGTGGGACTCATACAGTACATGACATGTGAGCGGGCAGGAGGAACAGGGTGAGCTGAAATGGATAAAGAAGACTTCAGAGAGGATGTGAGATTTGAATCAAGCTGCAGAGATTGGGTAGGGTTTGAATAAGGGAAGAAGGCAAGACCAAGCTCATGGCACAGGGATGAGAAACGCCTGATTAGAATAGTGAAGAGAAAAACCTGACTGGAGGTGAGAGTTTTTGCTTGTGGAATAGAGGAAACCAAGAGTGGAGCCAGACAACAGAAGCTAAAGGTCTGACTGGTTTTAAACTGTGCTTGAGAGTTTGGGAATTCATCCAATTAGTGAGGAGCCATAGATGGTGTCAGTGGAGGTGAGGGTCATGGGATGTATGATGATAAAGGCACGTTTGTATTATGTGCTGCTTAGTCTTCACCTACGTGCCTATCCTTGTTAAAGATAATCCTTCCATGAGGATGATGGTAGATTTGGGGGTGTTGAGCTTGCTGAGGCTCTAGGAGGAACAACTTTAAAATGCAGATGCATTTTTTAAGGTAAGATTTATTATACTAATTATATACATGGCATATACATTGAGGTTGTGATCCTGAATGGAAGATTAGGAACTCTATGTTTGTGACCAGGAGGGCAGGATTACAAAAAACTGGGGAAGCCTTTTGGAGACACTGGGTTCAAAGAACTCAGGTATGCTGGTGCAAGGATCTGGGCATTAAGGCCAGCAGATAAAAGCAAAACAGGTGAATGAAAGCAAAAATGAACCCAGAGTATACAGAGAAAATAGGGAAATTTATATTTGGGAAACTGTGTAAAGATTTGAAACACTACATCCCAGAAATGAATTTTTCTGGGCAGAGTTCTAAGATTCAGCTGCATTGTCTTTGAATAGAAAAACTTTGACTTGAAACCAAGTGGCACAGGTGGTAAATCAGAAAAAGACATTTTTCGGACCCTAGAAGATTGAAAAAAACAAGAAAGCGTGAGTGGCTGTTTCATCCTTTGAATCCATGGTATGTTTATTGAGTAATGTGAGTACATATTCTGAATTTAGCTATTTGATATTTGTACCACAAAACTTTCTTACCCTAGAACAAATTCAGCAGACCGTGTTTCAGGCCATGATGATCTCTTCCCTGGATGATTGTCATAGCATCCCTCTCTGCCTCCACTTAACCCCAAGGTCATTGACACAGCAGCTAGAGTTATGCTTTTGTATTAAATGTAAGTAAAATTTTGTTACCGCTTGGCTCAAAAATCCCCAATGGTTTCCAAATTTCATTGAGTACAAGCTAGAGCCCTTACCACTGCCTTTCATGATCAGTTCCCAAGCTCCCTGCTTTATCTCCTGTCAATTTCCCTTTTGTTTTCTTTGTTCCAGTCATTGTTCAACTAGCTATTACCTGAAGAATCCAGGTGTGTTCCCATCTGCACAAATTTGCACTTGCAGTTCCCTTTGCATGGAACAGTCTTTCTCCAGATAGCCATGTGACTTGCTCCTCACTTCCTTCAGGTTTGTTCAACCATTGGCTTATTAAGGCCTTCCCTGACTATAAAATAGCAACCTTTCTTTCCCCTTACTCTATCTCCTTACCTTTATTTTCTCTATAGCATTTATCACTACTTCACAAATACTTAATAATTATCTGTTTCCTGTGACCCCTTTTCCTCATCCTGGCCCCTCTTTTCCCCAACAGAAGTTAGTGTTGTAGCACTGGAGACTGTAAGTTCTGAAGTCAGATTTGTTGGGTTTGAATTGCAGCTTCACTGCTTACTATCTATAACTGACTTGAACTTTGGACTAGTAACTTAAACTTTTCATATCTCAGTTTTCTCATCTGTGATATGGGGGCAATAATAGCACCTTATTCATGGTTGTTTTGAGGATTAAATGGGTTAATATATATAAAGCATCTGTAACACTACCTGGCATGTTGAAAGCACTATAAATGTCTGCTATTATTGTTATTAGGATGTAAATTCCATGAGACTAGGGACTTTGTTATAATTGCAGCTGTATCCCCAGTGCCTAGAACAGTACATGGAATATGGTAGGCTCTGAATATATATTTGCTGGTAGGCTCTGAATAAATATCTGCTAAGTGAATGAGTGGTATATGAAAAGTTATGACAGAAAAAGATAATATGGTAGTCACAGTGGTGGTGAGTCAGCACCAAGAAAAGTGGAGGAAGGCTGGGCGCAGTGACTCACACCTGTAATCCCAGCATTTTGGGAGGCTGAGGCAGGAAGATCACGAGGTCAGGAGTCTGAGACCAGCCTGGCCAACATGGTGAAGCCCCGTCTCTACTAAAAAAATACAAAAATTAACTAGGCGTGGTGGTGGGTGCCTGTAATCACAGCTACTCGGGAGGCTGAGGCAGGAGAATCATTTGAACCTGGGAGGCAGTGAGCTGAGATCATGCTGTTGCACTCCAGCCTGGGCGACAGGGTGAAATTTCGTCTCAAAAAAAAAAAAAAAAAAGTGGAGGAAAACACGAATTTGAGGATTCTGTCTTTAGAGGAAAAAAAATCCTCTGTACACTTCCTGGGGTAGTGATTACAGAAGGTAACCAAACCAAAGATGCCAGAACTTTATAGAGGGGATTATGTGTGCAGGTTATCCAGAAGGATGCTGTCCCATGCCAGTAGTTTTTTTTGCCTTTGATAAATATAACCAGTAATCACAATATGAATCTAATTTTTCTTCTGGTTGCAATGTGATCAGTGTTCACTTGTAATTTAAATACCTCATATGGTTTGGCTGTGTCCCCACCCAAATCTCATCTTGAATTATAGTTCCCAATTTCTCATAATCCCCATGTGTCATGGGAGGGACCTGGTGGGAGATGATTTAATTATGGGGGCAGGTACCTTCATGTTCTGTTCTGGTGATAGTGAGTTCTCATGAGATCTGATGGTTTTATAAGGGGCTTTTCCCCCTTTTGCTTGGCACTTTTCCTGCTGCTGAATGCAAAGAAGGACATGTTTGCTTCCCCTTCCACCATGATTGTAAGTTTCCTGAGGCCTCCCCAGCCATGCTAAACTGTGGGTCAATTAAACCTCTTTCCTTTATAAATTACCCAGTCTTGGGTATGTCTTTAGTAGCAGCATAAGAACAGACTAATAAAATACCCTATTCTTAGTTATTTAATTTCACAATGCATGTCAACACCTAAGAATAATGTAGGGTTGCTGGGCGCGGTGGCTCATGCCTGTAACCCCAGCACTTTGGGAGGCCAAGGCGGGTGGATCATCTGAGGTCAGGAGTTCGAGACCAGCCTGGCCAATATGGTACAACCCTGTCTCTACTAAAAATACAAAAATTAGCCTGGCATGGTAGCGGGCACCTGTAATCCTAGCTACTCAGGAGGCTGAGGCAGGAGAATTGCTTGAACCTAGGAGGCGGAGGTTGCAGTGAGCTGAGATTGCGCCACTGTACTCCAGCCTGGGCAAAAGAGCAAGACTCTTCCTTAAAAAAACAAAAACAAAAAACAACAAACAGAATAGTGTAGGGTTATTTTTGCAATGGATTACAATAATTTTACTTAAAATTAAAACAAATATTTTATTCTACAGGTTATTATTCATTTGTGGGTCATAAAATCTATGTGGTGTGTCACAACCCACCACATAGATTTTATAACCCACGAAATATGTTCTCAGGCTTTTTTGTTTTGTCTTTTAATGAAATAGGTTTAAAAATAATTGTATGTCACTATATAAAGCAAGGATACATAGTGTTTTGTGAAATTATTATTTTAGTTATTTGTGTATCTCATAAATGTACAAACATACACTTATATACATGTGCATGTGTGTTCTGGGTTATAATATAAAATATATCTTAATAAGAGTCCTGGTCAAAAAAGTTTGAAAGTCTGTGCTCGAAAATGGTGCTTAGGAATCACTGGGTCATCTAACTGTTTTTCTTTCAGAAAATTGTCTTCATTAATTGCTATCCTGGTTAACATTGCTCATAAGTTTGTTTGCTTTTGTTTTTGTTTTTTTGAGACGGAGTCTCACTCCGTCGCCCAGGCTAGAGTGCAGTGGTATGATCTTGGCCCACTGGAACCTCTGCCTCCCGGGTTCAAGCAATTCTCCAGCCTCAGCCTCCTGAGTAGCTGGGATTACAGGTGTGCCACCACGCCCAGCTAATTTGTGTATTTTTCAGTAGAGACGGGGTTTTGTCATGTTGGTCAGGCTGTTCTCGAACTCCTGACCTCAGGAGTCATAGACATTTGTCTTTTTATTAGCAGTAATTTTATTTTACATAAAATTGCCCCCTCCCCACCTTCAAGTAGCTTCAAAGAGAAAAAGTTTCCAAGAAATTAAAGGGCGAGAAAAAGGTCAAATTCTACTCCTGTTTTAAAGTACTGGAACCAGTATTTCCATCATTTTTATATCTCTGAGCCTAGATCACTGCAGTCAACTACTTTCTGATTCTTTTGCCTTAGCCTTAAACCACTAGGGATATTCATTTAACCTTACAATAACATAAGAAAAATAACAACAGTGTTACCACTTTGGAGTTTACTAAGTAGCCAACTTCTTTGTGTTCATTATCCTCGTTTTATCTTTGTATCAACCTAGAAAGATAGGCAGTGTTGGTTTTAGAATTCCTGTTTTATAGATTGAAGAGACCAAGGCTCAAAACATGAAGCCCAAGACTCTGGAGGGAATACCTGCAGGATGATGTCTCAGTCCAAGACCTTCCACATTTTAAACCTAGATCTCCCTCCTCCATACCTCCTATGGCTGGAGGGACTCTGCCTCGTCTCTCTAAGTGCATTTCTTAGAATTCTTACTTGTTTTATCATCTTTACTTTCCCTCCATCCTCCATTTATTTCCCTTTTCTTCTTGATTCTTGGTGTCATCTGTGACCACTTGGGCCCAAAGTGCTTTTTTACCTTCATATAGCTAAAATTTACCCCGAATTTAGTATCTTGTTATTCAAATGGAAACCCAATATGCTCAAGCTGATTTGAGCTGTTCCAGTCAGGATGATTGAAACAGTACCTTCCTTCAGAAAATTGTAGGAGTTTTTGTTCCGTTTCTGTTTTTCTTCCTGTATTATCTGGATTCGTATTTCTAAAGTATCTATCATTAATCATGTTTCGGTGTTCCTTCATGACACAGAGTGACTGATTTTAGTGTAAATACTCCAGTCCTTCCTTGTCCTGAGGTTTTCTGCATTTTTATATTTTTTTCTTTGCAAATAATTGTCTAGATCTCGGGGTTTCCAGAAGAAAAGATCAAGGGAGAATTATCAAGAATAGATTCTTTTTCTGAATAGTTAAACCTTTGATGGCCATAACCTTGACCCTTCAGACTGCAGAGATGCAGGAACGACTTCTGGCAGTGAAGGTAAAGGAGGAAGAGGAGGAACATTCCTGTGGGCCAGAATCAGGCCTGTCAAGAAATAACCCTCATACCAGAGAGATCTTTCGTAGACGCTTCAGACAGTTCTGCTATCAGGAGACCCCTGGGCCCCGGGAGGCTCTTCGAAGACTCCAGGAGCTCTGCCATCAGTGGCTGAGACCAGAGATGCACACCAAGGAGCAGATCCTAGAGCTGCTGGTGCTGGAGCAGTTCCTGAGTATCCTGCCCGAGGAGCTCCAGGCCTGGGTCAGAGAGCACCGTCCTGTGAGTGGAGAGGAGGCAGTGACTGTGCTGGAGGATTTGGAGAGAGAGCTGGATGAACCAGGAGAGCAGGTGAGAAGATGGCAGAACAGGGTTTGTACCTGTAAAAACAAGTATGAGGTTTCAGTGCAACAAGAAAAGGTAGAGGAGGAGGATTTTTTTTTATGCCAGACTTGATCTTCTGTGGGCTTTTAATCTGTCTGCCTCTGTTTTTTTCTTTGCTAGCTTCTTGGTCCTTCTTTTCTATCCAGAGGCCCTGAGAAGGCCTTCTTGCCATGTTCTCTCTGATATTTGGTTCCCAACTGTCCTTGATTTCCACCAGGTCCTGAGCCATGCTCATGAACAGGAAGAATTTGTAAAGGAGAAGGCAACTCCAGGAGCAGCTCAGGAGTCATCAAATGACCAATTCCAAACCTTGGAAGAGCAACTTCGGTATAATTTGCGAGAGGTGTGCCCAGTTCAGGAGATTGGTGAGGATTAGAATTTCCTCAGGGAGCCTACCTCATTCCCTGAATATTTATGAATTCAACACATTTATTTAGTGTCTGCTATATGCCAGACACTGTGTCAGGTACCAGGGATACGGTGATAAACAAGGTAGATGTGATCCCCGCTCTCATGAAGTTTACAGTCTAGTGGGAGAGGCAGACAATAAGTAAGCAGTTATAATACAGTGCATCTTTTCCCTGAGGTCTGGGTATAATAGATTGAGTGGAAAAATAAACAGAAAAAGTGGCTACTTGTCCCCTTCCACCCATTTGCCTGGCCACTTTTTTTCTTTTGTCTTTGGAAAGGTAATCTGTTATCTCTCATACTTCATGTTATCTTTCATGTTATTATTATTTTAGATGGCAAGGCTGGGACTTGGAATGTGGAGTTAGCCCCAAAGAGGGAGATTTCTCAGGAAGTGAAATCTCTTGTACAAGTTCCTGGAAAACTGAATGGTAATATTACTCAGATGCCTGAGTATGGAGCTATCTGTGACCACGAGGGCAGATTGGAAAAGCAAAGGGTGAGCTCTTCAGTGGAGAGACCCTATATCTGTAATGAATGTGGAAAAAGCTTCACCCAGAATTCCATCCTTATTGAGCACCAGAGAACACACACAGGTGAGAAGCCTTATGAATGTGACGAGTGTGGGCGGGCCTTCAGCCAGCGGTCAGGCCTATTCCAGCACCAGAGACTCCACACTGGGGAGAAGCGCTACCAGTGCAGTGTTTGTGGCAAAGCCTTCAGCCAGAATGCCGGGCTTTTCCATCACCTCAGAATTCACACTGGGGAGAAACCTTACCAGTGCAATCAGTGCAATAAGAGTTTTAGTCGACGTTCAGTCCTCATTAAGCATCAGAGAATTCACACTGGAGAGAGACCTTATGAATGTGAAGAATGTGGCAAGAACTTCATTTACCATTGCAACCTAATCCAGCATCGGAAAGTCCACCCTGTGGCTGAATCAAGCTAGCTCCTTGAAACAGGTAGGGAAAAGTATTTCTCACTTTGTCCCTGCTATGTCCTCTAGCATAGAGAGTTCAAGGGAAAGCCAGTAAAAATTCCCTTATTTTATACAGAGAAGCATAATATCTTAAATACATCTGCCAAGTTCTCTGATCAGTGACATCTACAGTTTTACGATACTGAATGTTGCCTCTTGTGTTAATTTCATCATGTATGCTGTAGACCTAGTTTCACACACATCTGTGCAAGAAGTTTTCTAAGTATATTTCAGGAAAACTTCTTCATCCTAGTTTTTAAAAACTTTAAAAAAAAAGTTTAAAATAATTCTATGTAGGCTGAGTACAAAATAATCTCAAAGGGAGTTCACTGAGTATTTAAAAATTAATTTAAAAATAATTGTAATAAAATTCATAATATAGGTTTCCTGACTTCATTCACATAAAATATGATAATTTGCTTTTTAACCTACAAAAAGGAGCAGATGAGTCCTCCTATATAAATGTAGATTTATAGTAAGTTGGATTTCTGTAGATTTTTTAGTAAGTTAACCTTTAGGAACCGAGGAATTGAAGCAGCCATGTGTTATTCGCAGCTCAGTGGCTCTTCGTAACAAATATTGCTCATGATTTTAAATTTATGCAGAGGCTAAGAAACTTAGCTAAAAATCTGATATCTCGCTTCAGATTTTTTATTGGAAAATATAGGCCTATGTATTTTTCCAGTAACATATAATGAGCATTTTTTGTTTTTGCCTTTTTCTCCTTTATTCAATATTTTGTATGGAAAATTTGAAACATATTCAAGATTGAAAAGAAGTATGATCACTCTTTCATGTTGATTGTTTTTATAACCTCCACATTTCTCAGCATTTACTATTGATTACCACCAAGGTCATACATAAAAAAATTTCTTTCCCTTAACATTGACTTAGTAACTCTTTACAAAGCTTTATACAAGGTCCAGGAGACAAAGAAATGGAAAACCTATGGTGAAAACAATCTGGTTTGGAATACACCCAAATACCCAATACATAGCAAGTAACTTAAGAATAACAGAATCACTCTAAGGGACCTTCAAGATCATTTCTGTTTGCTCTTATTTGACAGATAAGAGAAAAGGAAGTTCTGGGAAGTAACTAAGATCATAGAGCCACTTAAAAGCAGAGCTGTAACTAGAACCCTGTCTCCTAGTTCCTAGTGTAACACTGTTTCTATTAAGCCACTGGGTGTTTATATATTTTTTATATCACCAAATAAAAATTACAAGTATATGGAATTTATAGGATTTATAAGTCATTGAAGTTGCTCAACAAACCCGCCCATTTATATGTTTCAATAAATGCACAACTCCTCTATTTAATTTACACTGGAATCCAGGAAAGACTCTTCTCACTTATTCCTCATTGGAAGCATTTTATTTATGTTTGTAATTATTATTTTTAACTTTTAAAATTTAATTTACTTAGTAGGACTTTTTAAAAAGATTCATTCTTCAACTCGTTCAAAAATCAAAATAATACAAAAGGTCTACTTTCCTAAGTAGCCATAGTACTAGTTTCTTATGTATCTTTCAGTGTTTCTTTATGTAAATATAGGCAAATACTAATGTATAATCTTATTTCTTCCATTATTCAGGAAGACGGCATATTATTTATACTCTTCTAATACCTTGCTGTTTTCATGAAAGAATATAATCTTTAGAGATGTCCACATCATAACATAGAACTTCTTCATTCTTTTTATAAGTGAATAGAATTTTATTTGTTCATACTCCATAGTTTATTTAACAAACTCCTATAGATGAAAAAACTCACTATTTTAAAATGTTACATATTCTGTTTCTTCTCCCCAGTTTAGTCCAAGTTAAGTTCCTTCTGTTCAAAAGCTAACAGTTTTCATATGAGCTAGGAAACAAGGCATGGGCAACCAGAATTGCACATATTTCTTCTACAGATAAATGGAGAAGTGATGGGTGGTATTTTTCAGTTTAGTGTATTTGGTTCTATCACATATTCTTCCACCTGACATTTCAAATTGCTTGTGTCACTCCTTAAGGCTAATTGTGGGTATTATAAAAAATCTTATACTTCCTCAAGAGTATTTTTTATTGTGTTTTGAGGTTAAATTATTTCCAAGAGAAATAGCTACAGATTATTTATTATTATTATTATTATTATTTTTCGTTTTTTTGAGGCAGAGTCTCGCTCTGTCGCCCAGGCTGGAGTGCGGTGGCACGATCTAGGCTCACTGCAAGCTCTGCCTCCCGGGTTCATGCCATTCTCCCGCCTCAGCCTCCTGAGTAGCTGGGACTACAGGTGCCCGCCACCACGCCCAGCTAATTTTTCATATTTTTAGTAGAGACGGGGTTTCACCGTGTTAGCCAGGATGGTCTCGATCTCCTGACCTCGTGATCCGCCCGCCTGGGCCTCCCAAAGTGCTGGGATTACAGGCGTGAGCCACTGCGCCCGGCCAGCTACAGATTATTAAGTGAAGTTAAGAAAAATATAGTAGACCCAAATTTGAAGTAAAATCAGCTTCTCAAGTAAATATGTATTCCACAAAGTGATGTAATAGAGATTCTATACTATTCTGAGTTTATAAATATCTTAAATGCCTCTCCATTTAAGATAATGAGAAAAGTGAAGTCCAGAGTGCTTAAGCACTTGTAGTAATCTTTCCATCTTTTATTGCCTTAAAAATTTTGTAAAGGAAACCAATTATGAACAGAGATCATTGTGAATTACATGTGGTTTCATAGATACTTACACTTGGAGCCCTGAGACCCATTGTAGGCATCTGAAAACAAGAGCAACAACAAAGTGGGTTGGAAAGAAAAAAGAACAAAATATGAGAACATAAAAAAGAATCAGACAGAAGGTAAAATTAGATGCTAAAACTCTAGATTGGGCGAAAAATGGTGACCAAAGGAAAAATAAAAAGCTAGATGCAGAGACAGAGTGTTGCCAAGAAACATGCTTCATCTTCATAATAATTATTAGAAATCTCTCATTTATCAACTGGTTCAAGTTTTTAGATATTGTTGTCTTAAGCAGTGAAAATAATCTCACTGCCTTTTACTCCTCACACTTTTTATTACTTTCCATAAAATGGAGGATAGGGAGAAAAGCATAGTCTAGAAACCACTGTGATTTTTAGATCTCTTTGAACCTATCCCCAATTTTCTATGTCAGCTGCCATTGGGCAGTGTTGAAAGCATTATTTCTTGATGATACCTGCACTAGCATCACCTGGGTTGTTTGTTTGAACTGCAGTTTTCTGAGCCCCACCCCTGAATCAGTTTCTGAGGCAGAGCCTGAGAATCTGTATCTAATTAGCATATTAGTGGTCCACACACATAAGGTAACTATGTAATTGATTGTCCAATCTGGGACACTTGAAAATGAAAAGGAGTGCTGTTAATAATTATGCCAAGACAACAAGTATAAATCAGGAGGTATGGTCCCCATACTAATAACGTTTGCAATAGGCAATATTTTTTTCAACCAAGGAGATAGAAGAGACAGAGAATCGGAAAGATTACAATGTTCTGTCATGAAAGCTAAGGCAGAATATATACGAAAAGGCTGTTGGAGACTTAGGTGTAGCCACCTAGCCTAAGGTAACCCCCAGTAATCTATTGGATTAGGAAAGAAAGGATGGGATAATATGTCTGCACAAACAAAACAGAGGGCCCTCCACCCCACCCCCAATTAAGACAAACCCATTGTTAACATAGCTAGTTACCTAAGATGAAACTATTAGAGTGAATGGTTTACCAGACAAGATGGACGACGTCCTGGAAGCACAGGAGTGTTTCAGTGGTATAGGGACTGATAGAGTACAGTGTTCAACCTTATACTGTAGAAGAAAGTGAGAAGATAGAGTATTGGATCAGAAGCTTGCACTGTTAAGGCAAACAGTGAGCCATTTTAAGCAGGTAGTTGGGTGAAGGGGAAGGGGGCAGATACTGTACCAAGTAGTTTCATAATTTATCACATTCATTCCACATCATTTGTTGGCTGTGGAGAGGAGTCCTCTTGCCACTTGATGGTACCAAAGACAGCTGACCTGCCTTAAGTGTGTTAATAGATCTTCATAGCTATTCAGCAATTGCCTCAAGATCATTGACTGCAGGGGTGGAGATGGCGGTGGCCTCCCCTCATCACCCCTGACTTCTGCTAATTCATTGTAGAGGGGTATATAGTCAGGGATCTATAAGCCCCAAACTTGCTAGTGGTTAAGTTACTCGTGGGGACCTGATTTATTTAAACTGGTTTAAAACAATGGAGAGCAAACCAACATCTTCCCCTCTTGTTGCCACTTTCCTCAGGTGGGTGTTGATTATTGCATTTGACCCTTGGGGGCAGAGTGAAGGTAACTGGACAATTTGTGTGGTACTGATAATACCAGACCCAGAGTTGGTTGGTTGATTTTTTTTGTTTGGAAAGCCCTTTATCTTCTGAGAGACATGACCAGTGCTGTGGGAGGAGCTCTGAGTGTGCCCGTGCCTAGACACCCCCATCAGCCATCCCAGGAGCTTGGTTGGGCTCTAAGGTGCTCGTTGGGGCCGATTGAGGAATCTCCCTGAGGATAGAGGAAAGACCCTGATGCCTGAGACCCAGAGGACCAGGGACTTAGGGAAGGGAGGACAGGGCAGGATCCAGTGTGAGCAGTCAGGTGTCTTCAGCAGGGGAGAGAGAGAAGTCAGCCCAGACTGAGTGGCTGCTGGACACAAGATGTTACGACCCTTGTCCCCCTGAGCCTTTTTGAGGCGGCTTTTGCGCTCACAAAGGTGAGCCAGGTGGTGTGCACAAATGAACCACTGAGATTGATGGGTCCTCCAAGATTCCTAGAGAGGTGGGCAGAGGAGCCGGCCCAAGTGCGTTGAAACATGGACGTTCTTCCGGTATCCTGTGCGTTGCGGACAAAGTATTTCCTTTCCCCTAGAGAAGTGTTCAGTTTTCAGTATCCCGGGACTGTGTGTGTAGGCAGTGTGCTAGTCCTTTCTACTCATGCAAGATGCACTATACTTTCTCAGCGATCCAGAGATCATGGTACTTGGAGGGGGTGCTGTTGCCCCCTTTTCCAGGGCTTGCTCTTTTACGTAGATCCCTCAGGATCAGGATTTTGTGTTTTGTAGTCAGCTCCACCAGACATTTCAGAGATGCAGAAAACTGAACAAAGCGCTGTACAGAGCTGGGTCTGTATGGATCATCCCCTTCTCAGATGGGGGCACAGACTTACCAGCAAGGAGGCCTCACCAGAATCCATCAGCCGAAAGGTCCTCCCGGCCAAGAGCTGGCTTCCGTATACGTTTTCTGAATCCTACGGCCGTTTTAACCTGAATAGTTTTTTCAGTTTTCATAAAAATCCCCTATACTAATGATAACGATATTGTATATCTGTAAAGGCTTAATACTTAAAGAAAAATACTTGACATGATCCCCACAATTCTGCAAAACAAAGGGAAGTGGTACGTGAATTTCTCTGGGTAAGAAAACATTCAGAGGTTAACACATTCAAGCGAGCATTTATTGAATGCCACATAATGGCCTAGGCTTTATGTTGCAAAAATGGGAATAAGCCAGATAAAAGGCATTTCTTACTGTATAGTGTAATGGGAAAGACATGTTGTCTTGAGGAAAATAAACTTCGTACATAGGGACTCTGGAGGTGGAACATTAAAGATGGTTTCCCTGAGTAGGCAATAGCAGAGCTGTCTCTGTGGACTATGAGAAGTTGGATAGCAAAGAGGAAATGGCACTTGAGGGATCGTTATAGTATGTGAAGGAGGGATCAGAAAACCATTTCAGAAAACTGCAAGTAAATGGTGGGTGCATTCCAGCCTGGGCAACAAGAGTGGCAGAGGTGGGGCAAAGAGAGTAGAGAATAACTGAAATATGCTGAGGAATTTAAAGTTTATAGAGCAGTGTGCTTTTCCATTTTCTTAATGTCACAGCACATAAAGAAAATTTGTAGGCACACTGCTAAGCAGAAGAGACTAGGCTAAGGACATCAGCCTTCCTGGCCACCCCGGTAGCTGAAGAGATCAGTATGCTGGTACTCCTATAAGCCGTTTGAAGCATGCAGTAAACTGTGGCAATGCACAGTAGCTGGGCAGTTACATGCTCTGTCTAGATTTAAGAAGAGGAGTAATGTAATCTTACTAGCTTTCTAGAAATATTCTAGAAGTGATGTGGTGAATGAATTGGAAGAGGGCAAAACTGAAAGCAAGAGAGACTAGAGACGTGCAGTTGTTAAAGAAAGAACCAAAACCATAAGTTGGTGAAAGTAAGTCAGTCACTGGCTATAGAAATAAAGAAGGTACCAAGTGGAACTGTGTTACAGATTACAGATTTAACTAGACCTGATAACTAATTAGACTGATGAAATTGAGAAAGAAAAGGTATTGAGAGCACTGCCTGTCACACACTAAGTATTATATAAGTATTTTTTAGATAAAATAAATGTAGCCAGGGATAAATAGGCAGGTTTGGATTAAATTATTCGGTAAGTGTGGCACAATTTTATAAGAGATGGCTAATATTGGAGAATAAATTGGTCACAAGGGGAAAATGATGAATTTTTGGTGGTGAGTTGAAGATGCTTGTAAGACATAAAACTGAAAGGGTCTAATGCACCACTGGACTGTAAAGGCCTGGAGCTCCAAAGAAAGATTGGGATGAGTGAATCAGGTTTAGGACTTTTCAGGTGAAAGCTGATGTCATAGAATGGTTGAGATTGCCCAGAATGAATATGGGATGAGAATAAGGCTGGATTTCAAATTAGGATACTAGACTTTTTTTGTTTTTGTTTTTGTTTTTTGACGGAATTTTGCTCTTGTTGCCCACGCAGGAGTGCAATGGCTCAACCTTGGCTCACCGCAACCTCCGCCTCCTGGGTTCAGGCAATTCGCCTGCGTCAGCCTCCCAAATAGCTAGGATTACAGGCATGCGCCACCACACCTGGCTAATTTTGTATTTTTAGTAGAGATGGGGTTTCTCCATGTTGTGAGGCTGGTCTCGAACTCCTGACCTCAGGTGATCTGCCCGCCTCAGCCTCCCAAAGTGTTGAGATTACAAGCGTGAGCCACCGTGCCCAGCTTGATACTAGACATTTTTGATAGGCAGAATAAGAGCCACGAAATAGACTAAATAATAGTCATTAGAAACATATTTAACAGGTATGTGCCACATAGCAATGTTTCAGTCAACAGCAGACCACATGTACAACAATAGTTCCATAAGATTATAATAACATATTTTTACTGTACCTTTTCTGTGTTTAGATATGTTTACATATACAAATACTTGGCTTTGTGTTATAGCTACCTACAGTATTCAGTACAGTAACATGCTGTACAGGTTTGTAGCCTAGGAGCATTAGGTTATACACTATAGCCTAGGTGTATAGTAGGCTCTACCATCTAGGTTTGTGGAAGTACAGTCTATGATATTCTCACAATGATGAAATCGCCTAAAGACACATTTCTTAGAACTTAACCATGTGATTAAGCAATGCATAACTGTTCTTCCTGAGTGCCAAGCATTAGGCTAAACACTACAAAAACCAACTTATGGAAAAATAACCAGAAGAGTTTATAGTATTTCTCAGAAAATTGGGAGTAGGTTAGCAGTGTTAGGTGCTGCAGGGGCATCTGGTAGGAAAAGGACTGAAAAATACCCACTGGGTTTGTGTACCAAGGGGGCCTTGTTTAATTAACTTGGGACCAATAAGTCAGATATGAGGTCCCCTGACTGGCATGCACACTATTCTAAAATTAAAAATACTTTTGGGTCAGGCGCAGTGGCTCACGCCTGTAATCCCAGCACTTTGGGAAGCCAAGGTGGGTGGATCACCTGAGGTCAGGAGTTTGAGACCAGCCTGACCAACATGAAACCCCATCTCTACTAAAATACAAAATTAGCTGAGCATGGTGGCACATGCCTGTAATCTCAGCTACTTGGGTGGCTGAGTCAGGAGGATTGCTTGAACCTGCGAGGCAGAGGTTGCAGTGAGCCGAGATAGCGCCACTGCATTCCAGCCTGGGCAATGAGAGAAAAATTCTGTCTGAAGCAAACAAACAAACTTTTGAAATCATCTAGCACAATCCTTGGCACAGAGAAGTTGATTTATACAGGTATTCGTCATTTTACTTGCACTTTGCTTTACTGCACTTCACAGATACTGTGTTTTCTACAAATTGAAAGTTTGTGGCAACCCTGCATCAAGCAAGTCTGTCAACACCATTTTTCCAACATCATGTGCACACTTCGTGTTTCTGTGTCACATTTTGGTAATTGAGTATTTCAAAATTTAAAATTATTATTATATCTATTATGGTGATCTGTGATCAGTGATCTTTGATGTAATTTTCAATTGTTTTGGGGCACCACTAACCACACCCATTTAAGATGCCTAACTTAAAAGATAAATGTGGTGTGTGTTGTGACTCTTCCACCAACCAACCATTCCCCCATTTCTCTCTCCTCAGGCCTCCCTATTCCCTGAGACACAACAGTGTCAAAATGAAACCAGTTAATAACACTACAGTGGCATCTCAGTGTTCAAGTGAAAGGAAGAGTCTCACATCTCTCTCTTTAAATCAAAAGTTAGAAATGATTAAGCTTAGTGAGGAAGACATGTTGAAAGCTGAGATAGGTTGAAAGCTAGGCCTCTTGTACCAAACAGCCAGTTGTGAATGCAAAGGAAAAGTTCTTGAAGGAAGTTAAAGCCACTCCACTGAACACAGTGATAAGAAAGCAAAACAGCTTTATTGCTGATATGGAGCAAGTTTGAGTGATCTGGAAAGATCAAACCAGCCACAACATGCCGTTGAGCCACAGCGTAATCCACAGCAGGATCCTAACTCTCTTCAATTCTATGATGGCTGAGAGATGAGGAAGCTGCAGAAGAAAAGTTAGAAGCTAGCAGAGGTTGGTTCATGAGATTTAAGGAAAGAAGCTGTCTCCACAACATAACTGTGCAAAGTGAAGCAGCAAATGTTGATGTAGACACTGCAGGAAGTTATTCAGAAAACCTAGCTAAGATAGTGGATGAAGGTAGCTATACTAAAGAACAGATTTTTAATGTAGATGAAACACTTTATATTGGAAGAATATACCATCTTGGACTTCCATAACTAGAGAGAAGTCAGTGCCTGGCTTCAAAGGACAGTCTGACTTTCTTGATAGGAGCTAATGGAGTTGGTGACTTGAAGTTGAAGCCAATGCTCATTTACTAAGCTGAAAATCCTAGAGTCCTTAAGGATCATGCTAGCTGGGCATGCTGTAATCCTAGCACATTGGGAGACCAAGTCAGGAGGATTGCTGAGCCCAGGAGTTTGAGACCAGCCTGGGCAACATGGAAAAACCCTGTCTCTACAAAAAACAAAAAAAAACAAAAATTAACTAGGTGTGGTGGCACACACCTTTGCTCCCACCTACTAGGGAAGCTAAAGTGGGTGGATTGCTTGAGCCTGGGAGGCAGAGGTTGCAGTGAGCCACGATTGCACCACTGCACTCCAGCCTGGGTAATAGAGAAAGAACCTGTCCCAAACAAACAAAAAGAATCATGCTAAATCTACTCTGCCTGTGCTCTAAAAATGGAATAACAAAGCCTGGATGATAGCACATTTATTTACAACATGGTTTACTGAATATTTTAAGTCCACTGTTGAGACCTACTGCTCAAAAAAAAAAGATTCCTTTCAAAATATTACTGCTCATTGACAATGCACCAAGTTACTGAAGAGCTCTGAGGGAGATGTGCAAAAGGGTTAATATTGTTTTCATGCCTAACACAGCTAACCATTCCACAGCCCACAGATCAAGGAGTAATTGCAACTTTCAAGTCTTATTATTTAAGAAATACATTTTGTAAGGGTAGAGCTACCATAGATAGTGATTCCTCTGATGGATCTGGGCAAAGTGAATTGAAAACCTTCTGGAGAGGATTCACATTCTAGATGCTATTAAGAACATTTGTGATTCACGGGAGGAGATCAAAATATCATCGTGAACAGGAGTTTGGAAGAAGTTGATTCCCATCCTCATGGATGACTTTAACAGGTTCAAGACTTCAGTGGAGGAAATAACTGTAGATATAGAGGAAATAGCAAGAGAACTAGAAGTGTAGTTCTCTTGTCTCGTCTTCTCGGAAGATGTGACAGAATTGCTGCATTCTTATGATAAAATTTGAATGGATGAGAAGTTACTTCTTATGGATGAGTAAAGAAAGTGGTTTCTTGAGATTAAATCTACTCCTGGGGAAGATGCTGTGAAATTGTTGAAATAATAGCAAAGAATTTAGAATGTCACATAAACTTAATTGATAAAGCAGTGGCAGAGTTTGAGAGGATTGACTCTAATTTTGAGAGTTCTGTGGGTAAAATGCTATTAAACAGCATTGCATATCACAGAGAAATAGTTCATGAAAGGAAGAATCAATTGATGCAGCAAACCTCAGCGTCTCATGTTTTAAGAAATTGCCACAGCCACCCGAGCTTTCAGCAGTTATCACCCTGATCAGCCATGAGTCAGCAGACATCGAGGCAAGACCCTGCAGCCTCAAAAAGATTATGACTCACTGAAGAGTTCTGCATTTTTTAGCAATAAAGTATCTTTTAATTAAGGTATGTGCATTTTTTAGACATGCTACTGCACACTTAATAGACTGTCATGTAGTGTAAACATAACTTTTATATGCACTGGAAAGGCAAAAAAATTGTATAACTCACTTTATTGCAATATTTGCTTTTTTGCAGTGGTCTAGAACCAAATCTGCAATATGTCCAATGTATGCCTGTAAATGTTAATTGACCCATCTGACATGCAATAGAAGCATGCCAAGTTGTGTGCATCACTTTTTGCACCTATTGTTTTTGTTAATCATCTGAATATTTCACTGAAGTTTCTAGATCTGAAAGCTAATAGTGTCTTATTCTTTACTCTAGAAGTAATTGAAATGTCTTTTAGTTAATTTTATGTCATTTTTTGCTTATTTATCTTTCACATAAATTTTTTTTTTACCTTCAAATCATTGCCTTGATATAGCCATTCACCTCTGAGGTAAATATGTTCCAGTTTGGAGTTGATCTTCTTTAACAATGATGTGTTATGCCTTAGCATCATCCTGAAGCATATGTACTGCTGCACTGAGCCAGTCTTCTGAGCTGTTTCACCCAGGAATGCATTCAGACCAACTGCAGAAGAACCAAAGAAGTGTCATATGGTTAAAGAATCTAGCCCACACAGAAAGGGAGCTTCTGGTCAGGAGTTCTTCAGAGAGGGTACTATGCGTATTTGCTTGGGCCTCAAGGGTCCAGCTACAGGCTCTTTGCCATCAGTGGTGGAGACCAGTGATACACAGCAAGGAGCACATCTTGGAACTACGGATCCTGACCATCCTGCCGAAGAATTCCAGGCCTGGGTATAGGAGCATCCCAGAGTATAGTGAAGAAGCTATCTGTACTAAACTTGGAGAGGAAGCCGAATGATCTGGGAGGAAAGGTAAAATGAAGAAATGTCTTATCAGATAGCAGGTATTATCTCCAGAGAGAGATAAGAGAGTTGAGATCACTTCTCTAGGGTAGTTAGAGAAAATGGCTAACATGTTATTGGCCAGAGTTATTTTTTTTTTTTCTACTATGTTGAGTTTTTTTTTTTTTTAACTTGTAGGCCCTGTGTATTTTTCCCTCTTTGTCTGTTTGTCCCTGCCCTTGCAGATAAAGGAAAACTGCTTTCTGCCCTCCCATTGTGTGTTCCACAGTAATAATGGGATTTTAAGCTCTAACTTTCAGCAAATGTCAACCTCATTAAACTCTGTCTTATTGTCCCCAGTTCCCCACCCTCCTACAGGCAACAAATAGTGTCCCAAGGCAAATACTGTATCTGGCAGCTTCATAGGACTCACCTGGAGTCTAGCTCCAGCCAGTAAAGGGTCAATTCAGCTCTGAATCTTGGGAGTTTCACACTATTAAGGAGAACATTGAGGAGGAGACAGCAAAGAAGAAGTTAGGAAATGTTGGTGTCTTTTTGTATTTCTCTAAATGAACCTCGTCATTAAAATCTCTGCCTACCTTTCATTTAATCTCTATTGCCTATTCCACTTTTAACCTGTTCCTCTAAGCATACCACTTTAACCTGGATTATGATTCTTTTCTTTCTTCACTTCTTTGCCTTAAAATTGTTTTTTGTTTTTGTTTTTAAATCCTGCTACTCTCATGTTACCTTGTATGGTTCAGTTTCTCCCTTCTAATACTGCCAACTTCCTTAACCCAGACCTCTTAGCCCAAAGACAGGAGAATGTTTTTCTATATTGAAGCCAATAGAAAACTATTAAAAGGCTACATGCAATAAATAAATTTTCAAATGTACATTTTTTAAATGAGCGTAGGAAACATAAAACTTTAGTAGGTGCATGCTTACTGGGAAAGCACGCATACGTGCTAAGATGCCATTATACTGAAAGTATTGTTTACCACTTGTTTTTTAATTTAATATTACATTACGGATATCTTTTCAAGTTACATATAATACCTATATGTAGCTGATATACATTTCACTGCAAGGGTATTGAATTATTTTGTAACTGGCCTTAGAGGGTTTTCACATGGCTTCTTTTTTCTGTTTTTTTTTTTTTTTAATACTACCAACTAAAAGCCATGAACTCTTTTCTTTTTCTTTTTTTCTTCACTCTGTACTATGAAAAAAGTTTAAGCATATATAAAAGTAGAATTGTACTACTTTTAATAAATCCCCATGAACCTGTCACCCAGCTTCACCATTATCAGATTATGGCCCATCTTGTTTCACTTATAACTCTACTTATATCCCATGCTTTTTTATACATATAATTTTAAAGCGTATCTGAGATATCATAGTCTTTCAAATGTAAATGTTTCAATATTTGCTGTAAAAGGTATGAATTTTAAAAATGTAAACATAATACTATTTTCATACCTAAACAATTAACAGTAATTCTTTAATATCAATTTTCTAGTTTTCTCAAAGATGTCATAAACTTTTTTTTGTTCATTTTGTTTTTTAACTTATCTGAATCAAGATCCAAGGAAGAAAACACATTGTGATGGGTTGATATGTCTCCTAAGTTTCTTTTAATGTATGGGTACCCTCTCCTGTTTTCTCTTCTGTTACAACTCACTTGTTAAAGAAAATGAAGTTGTTTGTCCTGTAGAGTTGCACACAGCATGGGTTTTGCTGTCTGCATCATGTGCTGTAGTCTACGATGTTCTGTTGTCCTCTGTATTTTCTGTAAATTGTAGTAATGTACAGGCTTGATTAAAATCAAGTTTTAAGTTTTTTTGACCAGGTAAATTTAATGATTTTGGCAAGATAGTGTGTTCTATTTGAAGCCTATATTTTCTGTTTGTCTCTTTTTCTTTGGTGTTAGCAGCTATTGATCCTCAATACCTATAGCTAATAATCCATTAGGGGTCCCAAAATGGTGACATTCTAATTGTATCCTCCTTTCTTCATTTAATAAAGCTGGAATAGTTATATAAAAAGACATTTCCCCTGGTTTTCTGTTTAGTTATCCAATGGTTTGTTTAGGAAAGGCAAGATAATTGGTTAAGTCACTCCCCAGTACCTTGCTTTTTAAATCAGTTTTCAAAACAATGAATTAGTTTGTAATCATCCTTTAAAACAGTGGCCAGTTGTTAGTAATAGTATCATTAGGAACTTGTGGATTGAAGCATTATTTGATGTTTTTCACTCCATAATACTATCCTTCCTAAAGCTCATTTATCTCCTCTTTGAGCAGTAGAAGCCTTTTCAGTTTGGCATGTGAATCCTTATGAACCTAGTCATCTTTGATGGTTTTCTTGCTGACCTGTGTGATAAGATGTACCAAGCCCATCTTACAGTTTTCCTTACATAGTCCTAGAATTAATACTTTTTCCAAGGACCTCTGATTCTGCCTAACGGGAAATGGTATTTCAAAACCAAAAATAGGGCATTAGGAGTGCTTATGGCTTAGTCAATTGGTCCTAGGCCTTTCCAGTACTCAGAGTTAAGAAAAAATTTAAAAGAAAATGTATATCATGAGTTCACATTGATAGTTCTAGTTCACATTTACTACTTCGGGTCTTAATCTCTTATCTTCATCTGTATCTCCTTTTAGAGGATTCTGAAAGGCACCAGGAATGATAGAACATCAAATAATTACTCACTTGCTGTCCCACAATATATACACAATAGCCTCATCATAAAAAAACCACAGCATTACCCACAAATATGATTACTGTAAATAGCTTAGTGGTGGCGTGTGTGTGTGTGTATACATGTTTTCTATTCTTTTTGTCCTTAAGATATATATCACTTGGGCTATACAAAAAAAAAATTACTGCTTTAAGGACGTATGAAATAATTACTCTTTTATGTGGTTATGCCACCAGTGGATATAAACGTAAGTTCAGTTTGTTGAATTTTTTTCAATGTTCAGAGAGTGGTTTTTAAAATTATTTAAAACATAAAGTTTTAGATGTTAAATCTACAAAGTAAGATATTTTCGAGGTTCTATTCTTGTTTTCTTCTTCCTATTGCCTCCCTTACCCATCAGTAACCTTTCTGTGCTCCTTTTATGAATTATCTTTTCATTACTTGTTGTTTTAATACAAGCATATGTATGTATACACACAAATACACACACAACCCTTCCTTTTTAAATGATAGCACATTATAATTTAAGTAATAAACTCTACATATCTGTTTTATGGGAAACATTTTCTTCTGTTTTCTCTTTCTTCTGGCATATAGTTCTAAAAAGTGCTTATTTCGTGAGCAAGTGATTGAGTAAAGTATATGTGAATGAGTGAATTATGCTGACATTTTCAGTCTCTTCTTTCAGATGATTTGATCAAAATGGAGAATAAGAGTGTTCTTCCCAAGCAGAAGAAATGAAGAAATAACATGCCAACAGGAAAACACTGTCAGATTTGATGGCAGTATTCCTGAGAACTTTGTGTAGATGTCCAAATGTATGAGGAAAGACTAGGAAAATATCCAGAAAATACCACAGTGATGAATGTGGAGTAATTTTTGCTCAGAACTCTGTCCTAATTCAGCATCAGAAATTCACACTGGTGAGGATTCCTATGAATGTAACAAGTATGGGAAAGCCTTTACTCAGAAGTGTAGGCTTCATGCAAATAAGAGAATTCACACTGGAGTTAGATATATAAATGAGAAAAATATGGGAAAGCTTTCAGTGCGAACACTAGACTCATTCATCGTAAGAAAATCCATACTGGAGAGAGACCCTATAATAAATGTGATAAGTGAAACAAAGCCGTTGGCCAGTGGTCAGTCCTCAACAAGCACCAGAGGCTTCACACCAGAGAGGTTTGTTACTACCAGTGTAACAAGTGTGGTAAAGTTCATAGAATTCAGCTTTTTCATCATATCAGAATCCATATTGGAGAGAAACCCTTTCAGTGTAATCAGTATAGTAAAATTTCTCTTTAACATTCATTCCTTATTCAACACCAGAGAATCCATTCAAAAGAGAACTTAGGAAGTTGATAAATATGGATGGAAAAGGCTTTGCATAATAGTTCCTCACCTGACATTGAGATTTTGTGAGTGTCCAGCATCTGAAATTGGCAAGGCAGAATTTCTTCCCAGCAGACCTTGAACTTGGTTTGGATGAGAATTGGCCCTTCAAAATGGTCCCCACCAAAATCCTGTCATTTAACAGAACAAGCCATTTACTTTTTCCCCTAACCGCTAATCAAATAAAACACTTTTGTGATTCAAAGAGTGGCCTGTGGACCACCAGTTCAGTTTCGATGTTTTACTAGTTTTTCCAAAATACAGTTCTCACAAGTTTAGACTGTTGTTTAATAATACTTTTTAGTGAAAACTGAAGTTGTACATAAAATACAAATAAGAATATTAGATCATTAATGTATTTTAAATGTAGCTGCAGTGATGATAATTTGTCAAGTCAAACATGTTTAGCATTCTTTTAGGGACAGCACAGTGAATTCTTGGGCCTTCTATTCCTACCTAAGTTCTGATGTATAACATGTAGCTCCCAGCCAAGACTCCAAACAAGAAAGATGCTTTTTTTTCCCTCTCTCTCTCTTAGAGACAGGATCTTGTTCTGTCACCCAGGCTACAGTGCAGTGGTACAATCATACAGCTCACTGTAACCTCGGACTCCTGAGCTCAAGCAGTTCTCCTGCCTCAGCCTCTTGAATAGGTAGGACTACAAGTGTATGCCAACATGCCCAGCTAATTTAAAAACATTTTGTAGATGGAGATGCACTGTATTGCCCAGGCTGGTCTTGAACTCCTGGCCTCAAGCAATCCTCTCACCTCAGCCTCCCAAAGCGCTGGTATTATAGGTATTAGTCACTGCACCTAGCTGCATCTTTATTTTTTTTTTAATTGAGGTGTGTTAATTTTAATTTCATTAGGAAAACATTGGAGATACCCAAGCTGGTCTTCAGAGGAAGAGAATAAGCAAACTCAGATTTTGCTTATGGGCCAGGCAGATAAATGAGTGAATTAGTCCTAGAGTCAAAAAAAGTGAAAACAAAACAAGTTTTATTAATTTATTATTATTATTATTAATACATTTTATTAGGGGTTCAGGAAAATTGCCAAAATCCTCTTTATTGATTTTGAGTTCTACTGCAGGAGAAAGATGATCAAGTTAATTGTTCATTTTGGCTACCATAAACATAATGATCTTTTTATACTTTTGAGTATAGTGTAGAAAAGCTTACTAAGTTTTACTGCTGAATCATTTAAATAATCAACGAATAATTTTTGAAGCATCATTAATTTTAATGCCAGTCATTAAGTTATGACGTATGTATCCAGATGTGGTGGCTCATGCCTGTAATCCCAGCTACTTCAAAGGCTGAGGTGGGAGGGTCGCTTAAGTACAGGAGTTACAGGCTGCAGTGAGCTACATTTGTGCTGCTGCACTCCAGCCTGGGTGACAGAGTAAGATCCTGTATCTAAAAATAAATAAATAAATTGGCTGGGCCGCGGTGGCTCACACCTGTAATCCCAGCACTTTGGAAGGCCGAGGCGGTCGGATCACGAGGTCAGAAGATTGAGACCATTCTGGCTAACACGGTGAAACCCCATCTCTACTAAAAACACAAAAAATTAAAAAATTAGCCGGGCGTGGTGGCAGGCACCTGTAGTCCCAGCTACTCAGGAGGCTGAGGCAGGAGAATGGCATGAACCCGGGAAGCAGAGCTTGCAGTGAGCCGAGATCGTGCCACTGCACTCTAGCCTGAGCGACAAAGCGAAAAATAAATAAACAAATTATGGATATCCCATTCTCCATTATGTGCTTATTTTACATTGCATGCAGTAGCAAAACATCTCATTTACCTTATAGATATATATACCTACAGTGTGCCCACAAAAAATTAAAAATTAAAAAATTAAAAATAAATAACTTATGTAATTATACAGTGTTTCACAACTTGAAGTCAACTCTAGCACAAGGGATCCTTCAAACAAACAGGTTTTTTAAATTAACATTAAGAAAATGTTATCTTCTTAGGTATGAGGACCTTAATAGGAATCGTGATGTAAGTAAAAATGTATTAGTTATGAGACTAATTTTCCTTTAACAAACCTAGCCAAAGATCATATTCTAATTAAAGGAAGGCCTCTTTTAAAGGGAAACTCATATTTTTAATGTTAGCTATTTTTCCTAAGAGGGCAAGGCCTAGCTAAAGGGACTGCTCCTCAGATCCAGTGGATAATTATGTAGGAACACATGCCCAGTGTTGCCATGTTTTCCAAATTTGACTTTTATATATACTCTTTCTACTTTTAGTCTTTGCAGCTTTTGAAAAAAATACTTTAGACCAACAGTGTGCCTACAAGCTATTAGTTTTTCAACTCTGCTTATAAAAATGTATATTTTATCCAAAAAGCTGCTGTAATTGTTAACAGTGATATTGGGAATGTAGAGATGAGAGCCATGATACTTTTTATGCTCCCGGGCTTTTAGTACCTTTGGGGCCTAGAGATTACCAACTGCTGATACATATTGCTCAACAGAGTGGCTAGAACACTTGCTTACCACTTTCTCTCCGCTTCAATGTCTCCTTCCAACAGATATCTGCCAGCTCTTAGGTAGCTACTTTCCCTCTACTGTAAGAATGAAGACGTTGGTTGCCCTGGTATAAGAACCACCTTCATGAAGCACTAAGCTTCTCATACTCCGCCTTTTAAGTCCTATAAGAATATAAGCCTGAGGCTATAATTGCACCTAAAAATTTCTTTTTCTCTTAGCTGAGGTCAACAAAGGCCAGTGAAATGTTTGAAATGCCACTAGG